TATAGCAACCTGTACCCATTCAAACTTGCAATGTCTTCACTAGCTCCAAGCAAACATCCAAGCTCCAGACACTCCGACCACGGAGTTCATCCTCCATCCATCCGCCACCGACACCTAAAAGCATTGCCCTAAGTCACCGAAATTAGTCAATTTACATTTTTATTGGATTTACGTAAATTGATGAATTTAGGTGGCAAAAAGTGTAAATGGGTTAGTAAATGTAAATTTGATTTAGGTACAACCTAATTTTTTAAAGGTTGGTCTTCACTAAGGGCTTTTCCTATTTTTCATTACTTTTTGATTTGCAAATATTCAAAACTGCATCTAAAACACATCTTTTGAAGAAAGTAATTTTGTAAAACATATAGCCACAAGTAGAGACACTTGGATAAAAGCACAAGCGCACACATTCAGGTATAAGCACACAGGAAAGACCTGCGCAAGCAAAATCACTTGGGTGAAACAGAGAAGCAAACATACTCAGGTAAACACAGTTCCAATTTGGAAGAACATGTGGCCACACAGTGTTTGGAAGGCCCTGGAGAAACTGCTCACCTTTCAAGTTGAACTTGCCATGAACAGCAACTTTGGGAGTGCTTTCTCCTTGGTACTCGACTTGCTTTGGCAGAACTGCTCGCGCATTTGGGCAAACAAGGGTTTCTCCAGGTTGACCATGAGCTTTCCATCCTTTGTCCTGTCCAGGACTTGGTTCACTATCTTGCGCTGTTCTTCTGTGTGCCCCTTCTTCATGCTCAAGGTCTTCTTCCAAGCCTGCGCAACATAGCCTGGCAGAGAGCCCTCAGACAACAAGGGCTTGAACTTGTTGTCCTTCAACCTGTCCTTCTTGGCCTCATCGCGCTCAAAGAAGTCTGCATTGTCCTGCTCCTCCTCCTCCACATTCTCTTGGTCATCCTCTTCAACTTCTGGCGCTTCCTCCTCCTGATCCTCCTGCAACCCTGCTGCCCAGCCCTGAGCTGCTGGTTTCTTCTTTGGCTGAACGGTCTCTCCACTTGCAGCAGGCCTTTTCAAAGAGTTGGCCTTTGGCTTTGCCTTTGGTTTGTCCTGTTGTTGCGCGAGCAGTCCTGCACTTTTGAATTTGAAAAAGAATACAATAAAAGTAAACATTGAATTTCTACTACTTCCCACTAATAATAGTCATCTTTTTTGCTAGAGATAAGCACTCAACATCAGGTCTCAGCGCGCCATGCATATCTCAGACCCCCATTCACTTCCCAGACCCCCATTCAAGGGAAATTTCTTTAAAAACACAAAGTAGAAAACGAACCCCGACTAGAACAGGTCCAGGGTCTATTAAGGAGGTTGAACAGGTGGAGGTGGCCTGTTGATGCCCATCTCCTCCCATTTGCTGCCCGTTGGCGGCCTTGGCATGGCCTTTTGTTTTGGCGCCATCGTTCCCTCTATATCTGATCGAGCCAAACATAACAGACATAACATGACTTCACACATGCCTCATTTTAAGCGCAATGATGCGTTGAAGGCATTGCCCATACTCGCGCCTGCTGGATGGCAGCCACTCAACCATTCCCATCCGGCTAGATGAGGAGAGGAATGTTCATCCTGGGTGAAAAATATATATCCAAAAGGGTGCGAGAATCCTTCAGTGATCAACAAATGATGGGAGATCAGTGATCTACGAATGATGGGAGATCGTAGATTTGATGTGACATCTTTACCTGAATCCCGCAACGCGGCCCCCAAACAGCTGCACATATATATATATATAGTGCTCACGAGATATAGTTTCATGACACGCATGGTTTCATGTCATGGTTTCATGCGTGGTCATGCATTTAGGGCATTGAGCTCCGTTGGGGGTAAATCTACATGCATGCCAGCATGTTGGAAAATGAACAGCCCTCCTTTAAAGCTTTGCATGTTTGTCTGTTCCATGAACATGTTTCACAAAAAACGAAGTGCGTCTGTAAAAGCTGACAATTAAACACACAGCCACTAGAAACCGCAAGCATTATATCGTTTCAAGTGCACACGCGCCGTAGGCAAGCCCTCACAGCAACAAGGCACAAAACAATGCGCGCATTCAAAACGGTTTTTAAACAATGTCGGTCACCAGCGGTCGGCTGTCAGTAATATTTTTCAGCACGGAGCAAAGCCGGCAGTTAGACAAGCGCTCCGTAGCGTCTTTATGTAGCAAGAAACATAGCAAATGTGTGAAGGTGGTATCACCGGTTTCATACCAACAGGTAATGTTCGGATTACCGCTCTCACGAACTGCATGGACAAAACGTTCAACGGCATACCATGAACCCATGCTCTTAGTACATCCATTGTCGAGGATGACATGAGTAGGGTACTTGGCAGGCTCGAGAACTTGCGAAATGTCCTTGGTACAGCTGAGGCCATTGCGTACGGCTGCGCAATATTAAAACCATCCCTTGGTTGCTGAACTGGTGGCATCTACGGTAAGATACCAACTTTCATATTACCGTACCAGGTGTCCCACATCCAGTATGCATCATCGGACCAGGACCAGTCATCCGTGGAAGGGTGTTGAGGCTCTCTGGCTGTACGCGAGGTCGGCTTGGAGCTCGAGGTGCCTTGATCATCGGATGTTTGGAAAGTCTTGGACTTACCCTTGCCGTCCTTTCCTTTTGAACCATCCTTACTACCAAACTTGAATTTACCTTTGGACTTGTATTTTCCTCCTTCCTTTCCTTTAGATATTCCTTTGCCCTTAACCCAAGTAAGACTGATCTGGTTCATATTCTTCTTCGGCCATATTGGCCTTGCAGCCGCTCTTACGGTTTTGGGATCCAGTATAGGACCTAAATGCTCCTCTTCTTCTTCCCTTACCCTTGCCTCGGCCTTGTCCACCGCCCTTACGACGCCTAAGTACCTGGGACCGTACGGAGAGCAAAACATTCATGTTCATCAACGGCCCAAAATGCTTCTTCGTCATCTAAGGGCATAAAACCTTCTTCTCCGTTTTCTTCATCCTCGACCCAGAAACCTTCCTCTCCTTCGTATTCTCCTTGGTCTACGATCCAAAACGAACGCTGCTTGTTGTGCGGGCGAATGTTAGGATCTTGAATTGCCGTTCTAGACACTATGAAGAGGTCGTGGTATTTCTGCTTAAGAGTCTCTAGGTCGCACAGGTGTATCAGAATTCCCTTGCTCTGCAGTTCACTAGTTAACCGTTCACGTTGGCCATCTGAAAGCTCAGATTGGATGAAAGAAGAACAGGGCTATGAAATTGCTTGTAAATGGAAACAAGATCATATGTCGGTCCTGACAGATCCACTTGTCTAAGATATCCTGGCTCTGATGTGTCCTATCAGTCCAATCGGCTTCAGGCGGTCGGTCAGGAGGCGCTCTGCCTGAGGCTGTCACGGCATTGCAATCAACTAACCATTGAGTATATACAAGCAAGTTGTTCATGGAATTCTGCTGTTAATTCTACCTTGGGCATGGTGTCCATCCATGAGGCACGAAGCCGGCGTAAGAGAATCTCGAACTTGCTGATGAGTGTCACGAATTCTTGATTGCCTCTACGGTGGTTGAAGAAATTCAAAGCACGATAGAGGAAAACGTTCTGAGATCCCTTCACGAAATACGGTCTTAAGGTCTGCAGGAAGTAGTTAACTCCATTCTCAGGACCCTTGAGACGATCATTATCTAGAAGCTCTCGATACATTGTGGCATCAGCAGTTAACCTGGACTTAAGTAGTGGTCCGTGACGTTCGGGCTTATCAATGCTAGTTATCGACAACCAGTCATCGACTGTCTCCTCGTACCTAAACCAACTTACTCGTCCGTCAAAGACAGGCGGCAGCTTAGCGTTCATATGCAAGGACACCGACTCCTCGTGGGACTGACGTGTTGCAAATGCGGGAATGGCTGCCATGGCACTAGGACTTACACTCGACCAGGGAAGGTCCGTAGCATCATCGCCTGACGTAGACATCACGAGCAGGCTCCGCTACCACTATTGACACGAAGTGCAATGCAGTGGATTTCCCTTGAAAAGAACACGGTCTTGAGACGGACACGAGTCGAATGCAGTCGGTTGCGAAAGCAAGCGGCTTTTCTCAGTCTTGAGCCAAATGTATCAGTCATGTATGTACATAAAGTGTGAGACCATACAGAGGTTAGTTCTAGGAAAAAGGAAACACACAGGCCCCCCCCCCCCAAACACTAAAGTCATTTTGACAAATCCCAAAATCAGGTCATGGGGCAGAATCCCGCTCCTAAGCTGGAAACAAAGTATGCATTTCTACCACAAAACCTTCTGTCATATCACGTCATATCTGAGAAGGCCCTGTTGCCTTCCAGAAGTTGTTCCAGCTCCTTACAGCCCAATCAATCTTGGTTTCTTCTCCGTGCGCGACCTGCTGGCATCAAAGCATGGAGCCAGCACAGAGATATTGCATCCATTACATAAATTTGACAACCCCAGCCGATGGGGGAGCGCGACAGAGAAGCTCAGTTGTTGCAGAATTTCTGCCGGCATCAGAAAGCGACGTTTGGCAGCTGTCCGGCTGTCTGGACCATTTTGGTGTGGAATTACCTGTTTGTAAAGGAAACTAGTCTTCCAAGGGGCCATTTTCCATTTCCATGTTAGTGAGTCAAAGTGTAATCTGGCACTCAGGAAAGCTGCGCAGCTTACTTGCACTAAAAGAGCGGTGTGCACAACCAGAACAAGCCACTAGCAAAAAGAAAAAACATGCACAGGCAAACAGACTTGAATATCTTGAATCGATCTAAGGACACAGGAGAATCTCGAGCAAGCGAAGGTGGTAGCTGCGCATGAAGAGGACAGAATGGCTGGAAGCTCAACGGCACGGTCAAATGGAAGAACTAGACAAACTACATGATTGAATGAGATTGAGTTGCTAAATCACGTCAAGTCACAAGAACCTTTCCAGAACCTACAGGGTGTCGCGCGATGTTCAACCCTAAGTCTGGCATTTTCTTGCCCATGTATCATCAAAACGACCTCTAGCCAGTGCAAAGGTCCCGGCTACCACTTCGCCCGCGCCTGACACAAAAAGTGACTGGCCAGCTCTGGCTGAATGGTAAAACGATCTTTGAGAACCCCTAGCAAAGTTGCTCAGACGAACTATGAGTGTAGAATCCATTGGGTGGCACCTGTCCTTAGCCTTAGCCAACCAGGCCAAAGAAGAGATGGAAAAAAGGCAGCGGTCGATTTAATAAGGCCTTCAAAAGAAGGACGTCCACAACTCAAATAATGTTGATCAAGCCCTGTGGAAAATGAGATGTCAACGTCGGTACTGAACATTCACTTGCTGGCACCTGTGTTTGGATCGGACAATGAATGAATCCGCGAATGTATACAAATACCCCATACCAGGTATACTGGTATACCTTTGAATGCCTCAATAAATGCATCCACCACAACCCAGCAACTTCTCTTTGCAAACCTGCCGTCTGGAAGATGTTGCGGAACATGGGCATCCGGCAAGGGCGTGAAAATATTATGAACTTGAGCCCTTAGGGCAAGTATTGGAAATCCACATCTAGCAGCTGCTTTGCAGCTGAGGAAGAAGAAAAAGAACGCACCAGCTGCTGCATAGAGTCATCTTCTCATATGGATGGAACTGATGGCTGCAAGGCCTTGGCTCCAGCATCTGGTCCAGTTGCTGATGACAAAATCCCTTCTTGAATGCTCAAACCAAGAAGGAAGAATCAGTTGCAGCTCCTTTGATTCGACCTCCAGCTTCGGTGTTCCCGCAGCCTTTGAATCTCCAAGGCGAAGGCTTCGAACATAAAGCGATTGGGCCGCGAAGGCTTCCAACATTTTGGGCCGAAGTTGTCACCATGCAAGACGGTGAAGTCCTGACAAAGGGAAAGGGATGCAAAATTAATGATCGTTCTATAATCTCAGACTATGGCTATCATAGTGTCTGCCCCATCACACTTGCGATCTGTCTCCTGAATTCTCTCTCTCTCTCTCACGCATGAGTCTAGAGTCTAGCTGCAGCTCAGTGTATATAGAATGTTCCAACTGTGTGCGTGTGTGTGCATGTGCATGTGCAAGGTTTGGACACAAAATCTCAATCTCAACGCGGGTTTTGTTTCAAGAATATTCATCTTGGCTCATCACTTTAACATCTCTGCCTTTGATGGCGATAGACCTCGTGTGACAAGTGTTTGTCCAAGTTACATTGATTTGCACCTCTTTTGAGGATCGTTTGTGTGCTGGGAGCCTTGGACAAAGTGCAAGACAGGAATGGATTGGAAAGGGGCGAGCTGCCCTTCCTGGAGCAAGCACACTTCAAAACAAAAGGAACACTTCTCTCACTTCAGCTATATATATATATACATTATTTTAAAAAAAGAGAGAGTTGCTGCAAGGCCCAAAACATGACGTGGACAATGACAAACAGAATATCAAGAAACTGGCTTAGCTGGGAGAGACTTGGAACCGTCGCTATGTCTTGACTCACCTCCCTCCCCTATGCATCAAGCACGGGCGAATGCTCACTACTCTGATGCATTCCCTGGCTTAACAAAACGCCGTGTTGGCCCACCCCATCCCAAAACTCCGCAAAGCTCAGCCTGTTGACTCCCGCAAATGCTCAATCTCACTTGCTTGGCTCCGGGGTGGAAATGGTCGTTCAATAAGCCGCATCTGCGTTCCAAGCCACGCTCTGAGGTCTCGGAAACGCTGAGCAAGGCGCAGTCCTACCAATGTTGGAAATTGTGCCAGCAGCTGCATCAATGACAAGTCTGCTGCTAGGATGCGCAGTGCATCTGTGACAAGTCGCTGAAGGGCTCGCCTCTGAGCAGCTTTCCCTTTCGTCGCTCTTCCTTCCGCACTGCAGCCTGCTCACGGTATAGAGCCTCAGAACTCTCCCAAAGCGGGTTGTTGACAGGGGGTGAATGACGAAACTGGCTGCAACCTCAGCAAGCCCCTGTCAATCATGCAAGGAGCCAGGCTGAACCAGGCTGGCTCATTGGACTGACTCGTTAGTTACCAGCTGTCTGACCACAAACAATTGAGGCAACAATCGCGTCGTTATAAGCTGAGCTAAGGGTTGTTCCGCTGACAGGCGCTCCTCCATCACACACAGTCTCTGCGCAGCATTGGCGTGATCTTTCATGAGTTGCTGCAGCGCATACCGAATGAAACGATTTGATGTCTTTGCGTCCATGTTCCATCCTCGATGAGAAAACACTCGAAGCATGTTCCTGAATAGTAATCAATCAGCTTGCATTTAACATGTTCCATGTATTCGGCTCGATATCTATTCCAGCCAAGCATCGGGCAAGGGTTTGCTTGAACTCTTCCGGGTCTATGGTGCCCCCACCATCCGCGTCCAACATGGAAAAGAGCTGAAACAAATCCGCCTGCCACTCATGAGATGCCAACCTTGTGGTATATATATAATGGTTCCTTTCCCGTTAGTCTCAAGCAGGTTCCAACTTGCCCGCTCAAACTTTAGTTCCCAGATGCAGCACCCTTCCTGATCGATGTCCATCACCCTGAGGCGGTTCTGAAATTCTTTGCTTTTGGTGGCTCCCTCCAGAAGTTCGACCAAGGTTAATTCTCCATCACCTTAGTCTCTATTAGGGCAGGCTTGTAACAACATCATAGGACATAGGACATCGCTCTCAAATATTCTCAGCTGCCCTTCACTTGCTTAGTTGCCATCTCCATCAATGAGTTGAAACATCTTGTCCAGTCTACGCAATTCTTCATCATTTTCCTGTTCCAAGTCCTCAAAGAACGTCGGTCAAACATTCTGAAGTGTGAACCCATTTGTCAGGCAAATAGCTGTAGACACACCAAACTGCTGGACAACGCTGATCATGAAACTGTTCACTGTTCAAATGCACGGATGTTGGGGTGTCTGACTGCAAAAACTTTGGCCTGACTGGATGACTTGTTTAGTGGCAGTAACGCAAACAAAAAGAATGGGCGCGCATCTAGGGAGTTATTCTATGTGTTCGTCTTTTGTTTGATTTTTTGTTGTGTTTGCGTTTGTTGTTTTTGTGTTTGGTGTTTGTTTTTTGTATGTGCATGTCTTTTGTTTTTTGTTGTTGCCTTGGTGTTTTTTTATGTTTTTACGTTCTGTTGTTTTGTTGCTCTCGCTTTTGTTGCTTGCTGCTGCCCTCCCTGAATCTGAGATGTGCCATGTATTTTGAAAGTGGTGCATTGTTGTGTTCAATTTGTTGTTTTGTCCGTTTGTCGCCCTTGTGCGTTTGTCAGGATAGTCTGTCAACACATGTCTATACATGTGCCCTGCCTTCTCCCAACTCAAGGTGGGGATCACATGAAGAGAACATTGGGTGTTGGTTTTTTCATTTCTTGAACTATGCAGCGCTGCCACAGATTTCCGCCATGCTGCATTGCACCAACATATAAGAAATATGTGTCATGTCTTCTCAAGCTGACCCTTCATTGTTCCCTTTATTGACATGGTTTGGGGCGCAAGGGTTTCAAACGGACCTGGTCGATTTGGGGGAAATGCCTCCCAAGGTTCTTTATATGGTTTGGGGTGCAAGGGGGTCGATTTGGGGGCTGTGCCTCCCAAGGTTCATTTTTGACATGGCTTGGGGCGCAAGGGTTTCAAACGGACCTGGTCGATTTGGTGGCTGTGCCTCCCAACGTTCTTTATTGACATGATTTGGGGCGCAAGGGTTTCAAGCGGACCTGGTCGACTTGGGGGCTGTGCCTCCCAAGGTTCTTTGCACCGTTTGGGGCGCAAGGGTTTCAAACGGACCTGGTGGATTTGGGGGCCGTGCCTCCCAAGGTTCTTTTTAGACATGTTTTGGGCTGCAAAGCTCTTCAGTGACATTGTTGCCGTCTGCCGGACACCGGCCTCAGGGCCCCCCGGTCGCAGGCAAGCGCCCAAACAGGTCAAAAAGAAACCCCACAGAGGTTCCCAAACAGCCCTGTCACGGCCTTTCGCAAACCCGCCTGCAACCCGAAACGTGTCGACAGGTCAAAAAAAAAACACAAACAGCGACACCGCAAGTGGATAGACTTTTCACAGGGACGCATAGGCCGCAAGTGGAAGTTTCGCCACCGTGAACGACAAGACCCAGCTAAGTGATGTTAAGAAAACGTCCCAGTGAAGACCTAAGGGCTTCCCATTTGCAGGCAAGCACCCAAACGGGTCCAAAAGAACCCCCACACAGGTGCCTAAAGAAACTTGCCGACGAAAAAACGACCCAAACAGGTCAACAAAGAAACCCGACAAAGTTAAAGGTGTCCAACCAAACGGTGCGATTTGAAACCCTATACCCCGGAAACAGCTCAAAAAAACCCTGCAGGGTGCAAAAAAAACTAGTACCCTGGGAACTTCTTGAGGCTGCCAATCTTTTTTCTGGGGGGAACGTTTTGGTATCTTGTCTTTTTTGGCTGCGGCCTCCCCCTCGACACTATCCGGCGTCCGCCACGAAAACTGAACATATTCAATGTTCCCTCTAGAAGGTCAGCCAAGCTGCATTGATCCCGCAACATTGCCCTTCCTCCCCAAGGACACCCAAACTGCTCTGTATAGCGGCGAAGTGTCAGCCCCAAAATAACTTTATAAGATTACGCCACTAAGCCCGCATAGACCCCAGATAGCAAAACTAAGCCAGCCACTGCTCACTGGGCAGTGGCACCCTCCGGCACCACCACCCACCCGGCTACAAAAACCTCGCAGCGCTCTGGAGCAGCACCCTCCAGCGGCACCAGCGCCCAGGCTCCAAGCACACACACGGTTGCCAACTGGTGGCACAAATGGAACCATAAAAATTGTGGCATCCCTTTCTGCAAAATGGGATGCGGCTCGAATTGGAGCCAGCTGAGACTGAGGCAAAGGCACATGTGGTGGTTGATCAAAATTCCATCTTGCTGGAAGGCAATTCTTCGCGAAAAAATTAACGTTCGCGAATCTTTCGCGAACTCCATGCTTAACTTCGCGGGGTGTATATCCTCTAGAAATCTTCTTGGTTTAGTGGTTCTACATAGCAGCCTAAGCACTTCCATCAAGCACCACTTTGGAGCTGCAGACGAGGTTGAGG